TATGTATGTATGTGTGTATGTCTGTCTATATCTATGTATAGACGTGGTCTGAGTCGCAGTGCTTCGGCAGCCCTCAAGCCTGCAGCAAGAACAGAACCACCCGTGGAAACCCCGACATGTATCCCCAAGGCCCCAGCAACTCAGTAGGAAGACCCGGGCGAACAGCAGCTCCCGACGCGACTCAGGGTGTTGCCGGGCGCGTCTTGAATCTCGCATATGTCGCTTGTTTGTGGTGGGATGTCCAGGACTAGGAACTAAAAATCGGCACGTAGACAAAGCCATGGCCATAAGGATATCCCATAAATAACCCTCTCAAATCTCTTTAAGTAGGCCCGGGAACCACGGCTGTCCAGTTCCTGAATTGCAGCTTTAGGCTCTAAAGACACTTTAGGTTTAGTCTTGGACTATTCGACCTTGGCGGATGCGTAGCAAGCACCCACGTTCCTGTTTAGTTTACAGGTGAACGACGATCACCGTCTCTGTGCCTCGGCTTGCAGGCAGGAGGGGAAAAAAGGCAACATCATGCAACTTAAAGCAGGGAAGGGGACAAAAAGGCTGCCGAAGCGCCATATGCCTGAACCAAACAACAATTTTCAACTCAAAAACCAGACTAGTAGAGCAAGAAATCAAATAATCGCTCTACATCCCCTAGAGCTAAATCCTCAACCGCTTTGAGTCTGGGGCCATTTCATCTCGAACACTGGATTTCATTCTGATGATTTTGACGGATGCCTCTGTTTCTCCATTAAGGTGCCGCAATGACGCCAAGCAAACGAGCTGCTCAGACTGGTCACGTACGCATAAGCCCGAATCTGCTCTTGCTCAGAGCCCTTGATTAGAACTAGGGTTTAGGGTTTAGGATTTATAGGTTCCGCAATCAAACCTCCGCAAACACGGGTTCTTGAGAGGACAACATTAGTACAACATTCTATACACAAATCAACTGGTTTTCAGAGTAACATACTTAAATTTAGAGAACTGCCCATCGTTTAAGATCCGTGCAGCAGACCCCGTACCCATAGGCTCCTAACTATAGTTCCTTTTTATGGTTCATATTTAGAATCCTATGAGGTAATCCCAAAAAGGAACTCCCTAAACCCTAAACCCTATGAGGTAATCCCAAAAAGGAACTACTAAGGAGCCTATGGGTAGATCCCCATCAAGGCATCCTGGTGGCCTTCGCAGGGCCGCCGTAACGGTTTATGGTTTAGGGTTCAGGGGTTTAGGGGTTTAGGGTTATAGGGTGTAGGGGTTTAGGGGTTTAGGGGTTTAGGGTTTAGGGGTTTAGGGGTTTAGGGTTTAGGGTGTAGGGGTTTAGGGCACCCGCCCCCCAGAAGCAAAAGCAAAAACGGCAACGACGGAGCAGCAGAGCTCCTCGAACCCTAAACCCCTATAATCCCTGCAACTCCTCAAACTAAACTCCTGAGAGGATCACCCTTTAGGGCCTGGGGTTTAGGGCTTAACCCTAAACTCTAAACCCTAAACCCCTACACCCTAACCCCCTAAATCCGCCCTAAACCCCTAAACACACCCTAAACCCCTAAACCCTAAACCCTGCTACACCCGACTTGTCAATCCTAAAATCCTCGTGGCTGAGTCACTTTCGCTTCCCGGCTCGACCACCGTCAGCTGCATCCTCATCTGCTCGTAGGCCTAAGACACAAATGTGTAGTGTTTATGGTGTTTATAGGCTTTGTTAGGGTTTATTAGGGTTTATAGGGTTTATAGGGCCTATCGGGTTTAGGGGTTTACAGGATTTAGGGTTTAATATAGGGGTTAGGGTTTAGGGTTTTAGTATAAGGTTCAAGGTTTAGGGGTTTATCGGGTTCAAGGTTCTAATCAGTACAAGGGGATAGCGGATAACAATTTACTACAAGGGGATAGTCTTACTTAGCTGCCTTAGGTTTGAAGGAACTCATCAGCCAGGGCTTAGGGTTTAGGGTCTAGGGTTTAGGGCTTAGCGCCTTAGTGTTTAGGGTTTTAGGTTACCGCTTGCGAAGAATGGGCAAAGTGTCGGCTAGACGTCTTCTGGTTCCACCAGAAGACTCGCCCGCTTTAGTCCCTATAGGCTTTAACTTTATGCCCCCAAGACCCTACGCCTTTAATAATTAGGATAGGGCTTGGGGTAGATGATACAAGATTTGAATAGGAAGCCCCAGAAGAAATGCGATTGGCTGCTTTTTCAGGCTCCGGTCCTCTATTACACGCGCAAGCTCTGGCTCGAACACGTCTTTCTTGATCCAAAGTGAGGGTAGGCTGTATCTATGGGTTCAAGGCTCAGGGTTGGGTAGATTTTCGGGCACAGCGATTTGCGGTTCAAGCTCTTTGCGGGGTTCCCGGTTTTGGGCTCCGGGATGAGGGATCGTTCGTTCAATTTGGGATTGGGAGCTTCAAAAAACAAAGGGCTGTTGAGCTTTGAATACGGCATGTGGCATGTAACCCAAAGGCTCCATGTACCTATATAGTAGATTCATGGGCCTTTAAGTACCTACATAGGAACCCCTTGAAGGCCTAAGTATCTACTATAAGGGTACATGGAGCCTTTGGGTAAGATTCAGGACTACAGGAGCTGCGAGAGGGGCTTCTACTTACTAAGGGGTCCGCTGCTACACCGCGAGACCCACACGAGTGGGCTCGGATCTTACAGTATAGGGTTCTGATTGAGACAGGTGCCGGAATAGCTACAGCTAGGGTAGGGTTTTGCGGAGGTAAATACACGTCAATAATTTCCAAAGGGCTCCTCTAATTAAGGTCTTCAGTGTGAGTAGGGTTGCTCTTGATACGCAACACGACTCCGCCATGCAGGACATGTGCAGAGGACCCGTTGACCCAGTAAAACTGCAAACCCGAACGTGTCCCTCAGCAAGGGACCCCACAAGACCAAACCAGACAACTTCAGGCCCGAAATGAATGCTTTCTGAGAGAGGGTGTGTACAACCCCTTCCAACTTTGGCCACCAGGACCAGCTCAGAAAGGAGTCCCCTGTCCACGAAACTTGGGTGTACCTTTGAATCACAAAGACCTGAAACAGCACCGCCGATGCACAATCTCCACATTCTCGGGTAGTGTCCTGCAGCTCGTTCTTTAGGTCACGGGATATGAGCCCTACACCCTAAACCCTGCACCCAGCCCTACAGTACTTCAAACTTCACGTGGCCCTTGCAGCTCAGAATGCTTGGGGCTGACAGCTGAAAGTCGAGTTTCATATACTCCTATACGACCAGCTACTTACTGCGCTTCAAACTGAACGTGTTCTTCGCACCAGGGCCAACTTCATCTTAATAAGGCTGCCGACATGTAGGGCCGATCCGAATTCGAAAGGTCCCATCTTTGGCTGCAACTCTTATCTAAGCATATCTAAGGACACTAAGATGAGCAGCAGGATCATTTTCATTGGGACGGGCCTAGTGCTCGCCTGCAGGCTTTGGGGAGTTCAACTTTCAGGGTTTCGGGCTTCGGGACATCGGCGTCGGGAGCCCCATCCGAAAACGTGCAGGGGTTAAGGCCTATACCCGTAGGCTCCTTCGTAGTTCCTTTTTGGGATTACCCTATAGGATTTTGAATATGAACCATAAAAGGCAACTACTTAGGAGCCTATGGGTAGGGTTTAGGGTATTTACTCCTTAGTTCGCGATAAAGAGGACAAACGAACCGTCAGTGAGTACTGATGGCCAGAAGGAATCGCTGCTGCGGACGACAAGAATGATTGGAATGGCGGTTCGAGGATGATCCCACCGGCCTCCGCCAAGAAAGTGTTGTATCATCCCTGCCCCAGTCCTACCCCGAGGACCCGAAAGCTCCTCAAGAAGTGCTGCGCCATGGAAGACAACCGCATATTCGACAAGGACTTCTTCAAGGTGCGTAGCTGCCGTTGTCGTATCCTCGCTTGACATCTCTGGCAGTCAGGGGCCGGGGGCTTCGGAATGTAACAAAGGTGAGGATGGGGTACAATAATTTTCGCAGAGGGGCTGGAGCCTGCGGTTCATTGCGATTGCGTTCCTTGTCAGCTGACTCGTATTCTTGGTCCTCAGTGTTTTCGGTTGTTCTGCGTCGCAATCATCGTCGTCGTACTAGCAGCACTAGTACTCGTAGTAGTAGTCGTCGTCGTCGTAGTAGTAGTAGTCGTAGCAGTAGAAGAAGAAGAACAAGTAGTAGTAGTAGTAGTAGTAATAATAATAATAGTAGTAGTAGGAGTAGTAGTAGGAGTAGTAGTAGTAGTAGTAATGGTAGTAGTAGTGGTAGTAGTACTTGTTGTAGTAGTAGTAGTAGTAGTAGTAGTAGTAGGAAGCGCCCCCCCCCCTGCCAACCACTTCTGCTGCCAACCCTCTCAAGAGCACGTTCGTTTTACTCAGTATTTACGGTACTTTCGTTCTGTCATACCACTTCTTCTTGCCTCAAAATNNAAATCCACTCCGCGACTTTGATAAATTCGGCTTCGGATTTGGAGGGGGTAGGGGGGTGGGGGGGGGCGGGGTGGGGGGGATGATGACGACATTGGTACACAGACACCCCGAACAATATCTCCACAAGAGCCGTTTTCCTCGGCATTTAGAGTACTTTCGTGATGGGGGACCCTCTTATATGATGATGGTTGATGATGATGATGATGATAGATGATGAAGGATGATGATGGATGATCATGATGATCGATGATGGTGGTGGATTGAGGCGCCAGGTGGTTGGTAGGAGGGGGGGATGGCTAGTAGTAGTAGCCAAAAAAGTAGTAGTAGCAGTAGTAGTAGTAGTAGTAGTCGTAGTTGTTCTAGTAGTACTAGTAGTCGTCGTCGTCGCCGTCGTCGTCGTGGTAGTAGAAGTTGTTGTACTGGTAGTCGTAGTAGTAGTAGTAGTAGTAGTAGTAGTAGTGGTGGTGGTGGTGGTGGTGGTAGTAGTCGTCGTCGTCGTCGTGGTAGTAGAAGTTGTTGTACTGGTAGTCGTAGTAGTAGTAGTAGTAGTAGTAGTAGTGGTGGTAGTAGTAGTCGTCGTCGTCGTTGTCGTGGTCGTCGTCGTCGTAGTAGTGGTAGTAGGCGCAGCAGCAGCAGCAGCAGCAGCAGCAGCAGCGGCAGCGGCAGCGGCAGTAGTAGTAGTAGTAGTAGTAGTAGTAGTAGTACTAGCAGCAGCAGCAGCAGTAGTGGTGGTGGTAGTAGTAGTAGTAGTAGTAGTAGCAGCAGTAGACGTAGCAGTAGCAGCAGCAGCAGCAGCAGCAGCAGCAGCAGGAGTAGTAGTAGCAGCGGCAGCAGCAGGAGTAGTAGTAGTAGTAGTAGTAGTAGTAGTAGTAGTAGGAGTAGTAGTAGTAGTAGTAGTAGTAGTAGTAGTGATAGCAGCAGGAGTAAAAAGTAGTCGTAGTCGTAGTAGTAGCTGCTCTCTTCCCCGAAACAAGACCCTACTTGGTATTAGAAACTACGCGCCATGCAAAATATTTAACATTGGGAGTGGTGGCTTTGAATCTTCATATTGCTCATGGGCGTATGATAACCGCACTATGCGTGACCTTGTTGGTTCAACGGAGGACTTGGCTTATGCAAAGCCTTACCATGCTCTCACGTTTAACTGGCCAACCCATCTAAGCATTAAGTCGACCATGCTATTTACTTAGTTTCCAAGCTCACAGCCCTCTGCCCTCGGCGATGCCCAGTATCTACCTAAGAGGATCTACATCTACTGTAGTCTTGGCCCTTGTAAAATTGTAAGCTGGTTTCCGGGCGTAATCCGGCACAAATGCTCCCGGAAAAAAAGAGTTAAAACATCATGTTAGAGGGAGGTTTAATAATCGGGAGGGGGTTGTGTATGTTGATAGCATTAGTAGTGATATGTAGAGATGGTAGCAATGGTAACTGTAGCGGTACCAGTGGCAGCACCCGCAGCAGCAGCAGTAGCAGCAGCGGGTACAGAAGTAACAGTAGCAATAGCAGCGGCGGGAAAGCAGTCTTAATGTTCCTGCTCCTCCACCTCCACAGACAACTGCACCTCTGCAACCCCTGAACCTTAAGCCCATGATCCCCATATAGAACGCCTTGAGATCCCTGACGCAAAGAGTCCTTTAAAGGAGCCTGAAAGCCCGTAGGCTTCCCCCTTTTTCAGGAACCCACAAATACCCGAGAGCTGCAACGAGGGCTCTGCGACGGCTCTTCGGCCTGTCGGCTCTCGATCGCTGCGGCTTCTTGCTCTGCAAGCTCCAGAAACCTAGGGTGTGTTTAGAGTTCCGTTCAAGGGGAAACCAGGGGTTCGGGGGTTTAGGGTTCAGGGGCTTATGGGTTTAGGGGCTTTCAGGTGTGTAGGGCTTCTGGTTTGGATGTGTTTAGAGTCTCAGGGTTTAGGTGCTTTGGTGTTTAGGGGTTCCTGCCAAGGGGAAACCAAGGTGGTTTGGGGTTAAGTGGTTAGGACTTCAGAGTTCAGAGTATTGTTTTTTTTAAGGTTGTCACTTGCAGGGCTTCAGATTCTGGGGATTGGGTGATCCTGATGTATAATCGTCATGTTCTGAACTCAACACTCCCAGTCGCAAGAACTGCAGGAAAAAATCCCACCCAGCTCGAGCTTGCTGCTGGAGAATTTAAAGCCCTAGAACCGTGAACTACTCAACACTGGATCCGCAGAAAACCAACACGACTAGCTCATGATTCGCTAAACCCTGAACCCTAAGCCTGAAACCCTAAACCCTAAGCTCATGATGCGAAACCCTGAATTGCTGAGAGCCAGTTAAGCTTAACAACCCCAAAATCCCCTGAACCTCACAACCCTGCACCCTACCTTAGGCTTAAAAAGCCCTTATGACACCCAGACCCTCAATTTGGAAAGCCTTGCAGAGAAACGCTGAAATGCCAGCTTTGCTCAACCCTCCCTACAGTCCCTCTCATCCCGCAGGGCCTAAACCCTAGGCCCCTAGACCCTCAAAGCACGAAAATCACTGAATCGAACCCGTGCCGGCTCTAAGCCCTAAGCACTGAAGCCGTAAATCCGACAATCCCTACCGCGCCCTACCCATAGGCTCCTTAGTTCCTTTTTGGGATTACCTTATAGGGTTCTAAATATGAGCCATAAGAAGGAACTACTCAGGAGCCTATGGCCCTAACTGTATGAAAATGTACGATCAAAACTCAGGCCATCTTGAACCCTAAACTGAGCCTTTCATAATCATAAACCCGGAACAAATGTAGTACAAAAAAGAGGTATAGTCCTAAAGAACACAGTTCTTAACCCCCTAAAGGACGTAATGATGATCAACCCTCAACAACAGAGCTTTCAAGCCTAAAGATCACAATGGTTATAAACCCTAAAGAGGCAGAGGTGAACACCAAATTCTTCCCTCAGAGGAGACGCTCTCTGGCAACAGGGAGCAGACCCTGATCCTGGGAAGCAGAGGGCTTTAGTTTAGGGGTTAGGGTTTTAGGGTTTAGCAAAGGGCTTAGGGTTTAGAGCTTAGGCTTAGGGTTTAGTTTAGGGTTTAGGGTTTAGGGGATTCTAGGGCTTGGATTTAGCCAATCAGGGCTTCCTTACGTTGTGTGACTTCATGGAGCCCCGATACCATCGAATATCGACGTCTCTTCCGCAGCTGGGTTTTCGGATCTCGTTGATGATCGGATGATGCACGGCGGTAGGCGCAGGATCGTCCCTAAACCCTAAACCCTAAACCCTCATCTCAATTCCCCCTAGATTTGGTTCTCAGGACGTTTGCTTGGCTTTGGGACGAGCTTGACATCCAGGCGCCTGGCTGCTGTGACAAACCACAATGAAACATCAAACTCGACGTTGTACCAAACCCTAAACCGCCTAAACCCTAAACCCTATCCTAAAACCCTAAACCCTAAACCCTAAACCCTATAACCCTAAACCCAAAGTCTCGCGCACATTTTCAGGCTGAGAAGTCCCAGAACCCTGCTGGCCCAAGCTTTCAACCCTGAAACTCGTCGCCAGTGAACTGCTGCTGCTACTGCTGCTGCTGCTGCTGTTACTCCTGATCCTTTCTGCTCCACTTCCTCCAAGTATTGCTGCTATGAAACTTCCTGCTACTACTTCTACTCCTCCCCTTCCACCTCCTCCTGCACCTCCTGCTGCTGCTGCTGCTGCTGCTGCTGCTACGACGACTGCTAGTCCACAACATCAGCAGCAAGACTAAACAACAGAAGCCGCAGCAGCAACAACAGCGAAGAACCAAGTACTGCAACGCAACGAACCATTCTGTGAACAAAAGCCGTTGTCAAGCACTCATATCAGTTCAGGCCTGAAAACAACAAACTACTCGATGCCAAGCATCAGTCGCGCGCTTGCGAAAGACAGGGACGAAAAGTGCCTCGTGGGTAAGAGCTGATAAGAGATAAATGAACGAGAAGCCTGCTTGAATATCAAAAACTATACCAGCAGCTTTCGTTATGGTCATCGTTGTCGTCGCCATGGTCGTTGCCGTAGCTGTCGAATGAGTTTGCACAGTTGTCGTCGAGATCAATGTCGCAGTCGTCGCCGTTGCCCCGTGCATCATAGCTACCCATAGGCTCCTAAGTAGTTCCTTTTTATGGTTCATATTCAAAATCCTATAAGGTAATCCCAAAAAGGAACTACTAAGGAGCCTATGTGTATTCAGCATCAAATGCGGCTTTGGACCTGCTGTTGTTGCTGCTAACCAACGTGGTGTTGAATGGCTTCTAACCTAGTGAATCTTCGTGTGTTATTGTGCAGTGGATAGGTGTCGGAGGCCTCTGCCATTGCCCCATCCCCGGTATGACCTTTCTTAACCAACGTCCCGCGAGCCCTGAACCACATCTCCCGGAAGACTGCCTTCTTGCAAGTGTGAATGCTGGTGCAGGGTACCGCGACACTTGCAAGGCAGAGTGAACATTAATTCTTGCGAATACCAGCTTTCGGCATGTTTGGCACGCTTGATACCAGCCGTTGTCTAAGGGTTCTCGCAGTGTCGCGATCGCTACAGTCCTGCAGAGTCCTGCAACCATCATACCGCCGACCATTGAAGCGGCAGTGAAGCAAACCAAATAAACAACTAAACCCTAAACACCCTAAACCCTAAACCCTAAGCCCTAAACCTTCCATTAGCACAGCATGTCCAAAAGCCCCAGCCTGAACTGTGCCTTTCCCTTTCTTGTAAACCTGACTGAACCCTAAACCCTATGGTCTAGGGTTTAGGGTTCAGGGTTTAGGCCCTACGGTTTAGGGTTCAAGGTTTAGGGTTTAGGGTTAGGCTTTAGGGGTTTAGGGGTTTAGGGTTTAGGGTTTAGGGGTTTGGGGTTTAGGGTTAAAAACTTGTAGCCCTACGGAAGTACAATGTCAGGCCGCAAACGTAGCTTGCTGCAAATGTTTACCACCCGATAGAGCCCGGCGACTCACAGAAAACACACCACTCATCCTGGAAAAGGGGGCCGTGAAAATTGGACTATCTATACCAAGATTTGGGAGTATACTATGGACTCTGGACTTATATAAGTTCTAGTCAGGAACCCTCGGATATAGTACTCGTAATTGTTCCGTCCCCAAGTCTTCCGACCCTCATAACCCACAACCCCTAACCCAACATGCAGGCAAAAGGCGGCCAGCTCAGAGTCCGTCCTTGGTCGGGTCGAAAGAACAGCAGCAACAAGTAACACAGTGGATTCGAGGCTTGGCGCGGCATTTTTCGTGGTGATGCCAGCAGTGGCAGTGGCAATAGGGAAACAGCTGAAGACAATGTTACTCGGATCGAGGCCGCAGCAGCGACAGCAGTAACAGCCACATGCTGCGAACAAACAGCACATGAACAATCTGCAGTCGAACCAAAGTCAAACCAAGGCATCAGCGACACCGACTGATGTCGAACAGCCAACGGAAGCATTAACAGTAACAGCAATAACACCATCGCTGCAACCACCGCCACCGACACCGCAATGCCACCGCTACTGCCAACCCCCTCGTCCCCAGCACCACCACCACCGCACGAACCAGGGTTTTTTGGGCTTCGGTAGCTCGATACCAAAAAGCGGAAGCACTATTTCTTGTTGCGGTTGCGAGACTTTCCGGAAGTCGCTCTGGTCTCGGAACTTCGGCCCCGAACTAGCAATGCATTTGTCATAGGGGCCCTTAAGGGGGGGTGGGGTGGAGGGGGTTAGCGGGCCTTAATACCATTAACAAGGACCTATTAAGGCCTATTTAGGGAAGTATAGTCACCTACCCCCCCCCTCCCCCCCTCCCCCCCGCCTCCCCCCTGTCCCCCTAAGCGCCCCAACGCGTTTCTGAGACGAAGCCACATACGTAGCAGAAGCTGCCGCTCTCGTTGGTCGGGCTTGACCTGCCAGGGGCTAGCGCTACAGTTCTAGATCCATGGTCCCTTGGCTGCTTGTTTAGGGCTTATAGGGCTTATAGGGTTATATATATATAGGGTTTATAGGGTTTTTAGGGCTTTTAGGGTTTAGGGTTATAGGGTTTAGGGACTTATCTTCATTATGGTTGCAACTCTGGTGAACTCGGCTTACGGGCTCTTGTAGATGTGATATAGGGAGCTTTCAGAGTCCGTACTTGCCATATGTACAATCGCTACAGCTGCTCTTCTGATAACCACTATCAAAGGATGATGTGACGGTGGCACCTCAAACCCCTAAACTCTAAACCCCCTAAGCCCTAAACTCTAAACCCTAAGCCCTAAACCCAAAACCCTAAACTCTAAACCCAAAGCCCTAAACCCTAAGCCCTAAACTCTAAACCCAAAGCTCTACACCCGAAACCTTGAACTCTAAACCTTATACTCGAAGGCCCTAAAGCCTGAAGAAGACACGACCGGTGACGCTCTCTCTGAGTAAGTCTCCCAAAGGCCCAGACTTTCCAAAAGCCCTTAATTCAGGAATATACCTTTTAGGGTTAAGGGTTTAGGGTTTATGGTAATGATAGGATTCCTGATATGATTTAGGGTAGATTCCTTAACTAAGGAATATGCCTTAAATAACAAGATCCCTATTACGACTTAGGGTATAAGTCCTTCATTCAGGGAACTTTGGTAGGTCGGGCGCCCCAGCACTCACTCAGCGACCTCGGATTTCTCGTGGCGGCAGTGGCAGAACCCGCACTTGGCACCCACATGGCAGACTCCGGACTTCAATTGGTACCTTGGACTTCAGGTTTAGGGTTTAGGGCTTCGGGTTTAGAGTTGAGGCTTAGGGCTTAGGGTTTAGGTTTTACGGGTTAGGGCTTAGGGTTTAGGGGTTTAGGCTTTAGGGCTGAGGTTTCGGATTCGGTGTACCGAGGTATCGTGCGGAATTGCTGAAGCGTGCTCTGGCTTCTTCAGCGTTTCCGATGGCTTAGATACTGAGCGCCACAAGCCGAACGAGGTGAGTCCCTAAGTTACAAGACTGTCAGCGATCTCGCTTGCACTGAACCGAGACGGTCCCCAGTACAAGACTAGAACTACGGCACACGATTTCAGCTGGAGCCGGCACCATTTGGGAGGTTTGGAAACCAGGAACCCAGGCAATTTTTGGACAAACGCATAATAATATATATAATTAGAATAGGGTTTGGCATGTGTTGTACTATGAATACAATAACGAGCCCTAAGGAATAATGTTACTAACTGTTTTGGACCCTATCTTACCTGTCAACCTGGTACCACTAGAGCAAGAGAAGCCATGCAAGCACTAGCACAGTTCTTCATACCAGTAAAACTTGGTAATTTTGCTCTGTCATCGTCGTTCTTGCGTGGTGGCAAGAGCAGTGGTATCAGCAGTAGTAGTGGTCCTCGTCGTTGCAGTAGTTTTGCTGGAGGAGGGGCGCAGAAGCAGAAGCGCGCTTGCGGATTTTTAGACGAAATAGTGGCATACCGGGCCAGCAACTCGACAGCAACAATCAAGGGCAACACGTGTTGTAGTAGACTACTGCTGCGCTGCCGGAACCCCAAACCCATAAACCCTCACGGGCCTGCAACACCATAAACCCTAATTAAAGCCTAACCCCCCCCAAAAAAAAAACAAAAAAAGGTCACAGAACCAGAGCTTTCCCAAGGCCCACCGAGAGGCACACATGGGCGCTTGCAAAGCTCTGGGTGTCCGTAACTCCCCGGGTTGAGACGGCCTTGATAAGAGCGGCTCATCAGGTCCTCGAAAGGGCGTAGGGCGTAGGGAATATAGGAACCTGATTATTAAGAAACCCTGGGCCTTTATTTGGGTTCTGAATTTATGAGCCCTACTCTAGTGTGGTTCTAGGGCCAGGGTTTCTTAATCAGGTTCCTACATGAGGGTTTGTAGTGCTCATGGTGTTTTTTTTGGATTTAGGCTTCAGGGCCCAGAGCTCGGTCTGCTTGGTCTTTGGTCTTCGGAAGGGGTCTTGAAGGGGCCTTGTGAGGCTGGACCTTCTCGTGATTTAGAGAATCTTCATTTTTGTGCAGGCCCCTTTTCCTAGCAGCAGTAGGGTTAGAAAGCCCTATGTCTTAGGGCTCAGGGTTCAAGGGTTTAAGGGATTTGTGGCGTAGGGTCTTGGGGTTTTGGGGCTCGGGGAATGTGAGGCTGCTTGATTCGGGCTTCTGGGCTCAAGGTTGATCCCAGCAGCTCCACCCTAAACTCGATAGTTCCTAGACCTTCAACTGTCAACTCTACATCCTAAAGCCTGAACACGAAGAGTCAAGGCTCCTTCGGGAAGGACCCTAAAACCTGAACCTGATCAGCACGAAGCGCCTAGCATTACAATAGAGGCGAAGGGGGGGGGGAAAGGGGGGCGGGGGGCTCCAAATATGTTTTAAAATACGGTTTGGGGGTCTATCTATTATATATGAGCGTTTGGTTAACAAAATTCTCGAACCCTCATTATACTTACCCATAGGCTCCTTAATAGTTCCTTTTTGGGATTTCCTTATAGGATTCTAAATATGAACAAGGAACTACTTAGGAGCCTATAGGTATACTTATGTTGGGGCCAAAGCTCTCCCAAGCGTGGCCGAAGCGTTGCTGCAGGCTGCAGGGAGAAAGATAGCGGCTGCCTGGTTTGGGGCTTGGGGTATAGGCATTAGGGTCGGAGGTGTCAATTTTAGGGTTGTGTGCTCAACGTTTGGGTTTTGCGGGTGCTGTGGGCTGCCACCCGCCTAGACGGTTCGTGTAGGCATTCGTGTTCGTCGTGAACTGCTGCACTTGCTTCGCACCAAACAAATTAGGAGCCCACCTACCCATGTAGCTCGTTACTGTTCCTTACACCCTGCACCAAAGCTTTTCGTACACCTACATATAGTAAACCCCAGAAAGTTGGAAACCGGATTAAGGACAATTAGTGCTGGGATTCCCTATACATTACTCTTAAGGATTGAGGCTATTGGGTTTCCATCTTTTGGGCATCTACTCCAACTTTTGGGCATCTACTGTAAGCAGTAACTTACTATGAAGACAGTATGTTGGCTTCGCGTTCAGACATCATCGAGGCAAAGCCGAAAGGCAAAGTACGGGCCCACACGAAGGTCCGGGCTTTTGGGATTACCCTGAGGGTCCATGTACCCAACTAGTAGATACTTTGCTCCCAAAGTACCCAAATAGGGACTACTTTAAGGCCAAAGTATCTACTATTTGGGTACATGGACCCTTACAGTAGGGTTAGGGTTTCGGCTACCAGGATCAGAAGTAGCTCTACGGGTTTGGGGCTTAGGGTTTCGCCCAGAAACCCGGGAACTCACCATTGAAGCCATGAACCCCTGCGCCGAACCTAACAACAGCTGTGCTTCTCGAATGGCCTAATTAGAAGGAAGAGCCCCTGAACCCCGAAGCCTCAAGTCCACCAAAAGAGTCAGTTCTGCAGAGTCCGGGATGGAATTGCGGGATGTCTCCTTGGGGCTTAGTTAGAGGGACTGCCTTGTCTCTTCTGTGCACAGCCGGAAGCCTGAAGACACAGCAACCCGGAATGGCTGAATGCTCACAACCTTTAACTCGCAAGCCCCTGTAAATCCTGCAGCCCGAAAACTAAACCACTAAACACACACAAGACTCCTAAAGCACTGATCCTAAAAGCCTGACTCCCTAAGACTAAACGCCTTGAAGCCAAGAGCACATTAGTTGAACCGAACAAAAAACCCAAAGCTTTAACCGCTTTCATGCCTAACGCCGGAACCCATCTCCCCTCCACAAAAACAAACACACACACACACACAACAACAACAACAAAAACACAAAGCAACAACAGCACGACTTAAACCCTAAACCCCTACTAAACATAAACCCTAAACCCTAGAAATCGTTCCACAGCTTTGAAGGCGTGGCCACGGCTCCCGAAACCTACGAGCTCTCCTCCACTGAGTCTGCCTAGAAGTTCAGGGGACTTTCTAGGTAGGCTAGGGTTGTTTCGGGGTTTTGGGTTTAAGCTTTAGGGTTTGGGGATTAGGGGTTTAGGGCTAAGGTTTAGGTTTAGGGTTTGGGGATTAGGGTTTAAGGTTTAGGGTTTACCTAAAGTCTCCATTGTAGTTAAGTTCCTTTCGGGGGTTACGGTTTGAGGATCCGCAATATACATTGGTTAAACCACAAAACCACAGCAAAAAAAGAACTACAATGGAGACTGTAGGTAGGGTTTGGGCATTGGGTTCAGGGTTCAAGGGTTGTGGTTTAGGGCTTAGGGTATGTAAGTAGGTCATGAGTGGCGATATTTGTAATCTAGAGGGGTTCATGCTTCTGAGATTCTGATACAACTCCCCAAAGTTTAAGACGACTTCATACGTCCCCCCTAAACCCTAAACCCTAAACCTTAAACCCTAAACCCCAAACCCTGATGCTTCAAGGGAGCTGCTGCCCCAAGCCCGGCGGAATGCTGAGGTCGATGTCGGCAGCCTCTCAAAGGGATCCTTTAAAAGGAGAACTGGAAGGGTCTAGGGCTTTAGGGTTTAAGGTTTAGGGTAGGGGTGTAGTACAGGGGCAGTTTCACAAGACTATTCTGTGTAGCGAAGGTTCTCATTACGGCTCTTGTGTTAGGGACTTAAACTCAGGGGTATTCGACTCAAAAGGTTTAGAGCTTGGCGTGGTTTAACACTTTTCAGGCGTTTAGGGTTTAGGGTTTGGGGTTTAAATAGGGCTTAGGGTTTCTATGGTTTCTAAACTAACGACAGCGACAACGACGACAGCAGCAACAACAACAACAAC